CCCAGTCGAGGTCGGTGGGATTTTTCTGAGGCATAAACATCTCTGGACACGTCTTCCTTCGGAAGGGAAGTAAAGCCGTTGGTCCCGGCCCATGTGTGTTGATGAATGGGTTCGATATCCTACGCAGGTGTGGAAGATGCCTTCCTGCACATTCGATTGCCGTCAATGGATGGCAATCGATGTCCGTCGGTGATTAGCACTAGATTGCGAAACAGAGACCGACGTTAAATAAAGGAAAGAACAAAAGAACAAAACTATTAAATAAAATATTAAAAATCCATCATCACCATTTTGGCGTACAGAAATAGTTTTTGCAGTGCTACAATAATTATCAAAAAGTCGTTATGACAGCTATCCATATAAAATAATAATCCGTTGGAGATAACTTCGTCAAGATACATAATTTGTCAATTCATAAAAAAAAAAATCACTGGATAACTGTTCAAAAGACAGTTTTAACGTGTGAAATGCAGAGTCTTTTAAATTCTGTAAGTGTTGCTGAACGTTTCATATGTCTAGGCATCGAATTGAAAACAGTTATTCCTTTATAATATAATGAATTTTGTTAAGCACAAGTCAAGAAATGTGGTGTTCTTATTTAAACCGCGTTTCTAGTATTATATCTATGAAAATAACTTCCTCTTTCAATTCGATCACACAAATATCGAGGCAGCAAACCGTTAACTATTTTAAAAATGAACACCATAGTCAAATATACAATTCTTTGTTTCACCGACAACCATCGTAAGGCGTCTAGCATCAAAGTTAAGGAAGTGAATCTATTACATCTCAAAATCAAACGCATTATTTTATTCTGCAAGCGCTGTAATCTCCATATTTGCACTGGCCAGACATAAAATGGAAGGGCAAAAGTCTAGATGAGGAGAGATGATTGATTTGTTTAGCTTTATTTTACTGACAATAGTTAAATCGTTTTTCAGTCGACATAGAATTCCATACTTCTTGGCAATTTTCTTGATGACATTGTCAGAGTGAGAGTTGAACTTAAGTTTGTCATCAATAATCACGCCAAGATATTTAATCTCGCGAACGCGATCAATAGTCTCATCATCAATTACAACAGAGACTGTACTCGATTCCGTGAAATTACCATAAATTTAGTTTAACTTGTATTCAATTTCAACAGCTAATATTTCAACCATTTACTTAGAGAACGCAAATCTTCATACAAGTTTGAACGGCATCATCGAAATCCTTAGCTGCAATGAATAACACAGTATCATCTGCAAAAAGATTAATGTCGCAAAACCGTATAACACGTCTTAAGTCATTAATATACATAATAAATAACACGGGCCCTAAAACACTTCCCTGGGGCACTCCAAGGTTATGCCCCACGGGAATGGAAACAGAATCATTAAAAACAGTTCGTTGAGTTCTGTCAGATAAATAGCTTTCAAACAATTTATATGCAGTACTCGTAATTCAAAAGCACTTGATTGTACTTAACAGTAAGGGCCCAGAAATTGTTTCAAAAGCGCGTTTAAGATCCAAAAAACAGCAACAATCGTATCTTTACGCTCCAAATTGTCTTTCCACTATGCTAACACCAAATTCAACGCAGTTTCACAAGAATGACTTTCCCGATATCCTGATTGTTCTGGTATCAACAAAGAGTTGCTATTCAAATACTCCAACAGCTAACAACATGTTCTAAAATTTTCTCTAATGTGTGCAACATGTTGATGGGACGAAACTCTTCGGCTTTAATCGTTCCAGCAACTTTTTCAATAGGAACCACTAAGGATTCCTTCCAAATGTGTGGCACATGTCCATTTTGCAATGATTCATTAATAAGGTCCAGCAAGATGAGACAATGACATGAAAGCAATATTGAATAACTCTAGCATTATCATTATCTACTCCAGCCGATTTTCCTAATGAAAAACAAGTAACTCTAAGTTCATCTAATGTAATTGGGTGAAAAATTTCAAATCTTCAACTACTATTAACTGGCTGTTTTATTTCGTCAGGTTCATCGACCAATTCAATGGATTGATTAATCAATGAAACGCTGTCTACAAAATAATCATTAAACTTAGCTGCAATTACTTGTTCTGACTGTACTAATGTGTCATTAAAATTTATGGACCGTGGTTTGCAATTACTAGGTTTTAATAAAGATTTCAAAATTTTCCATAACTCTTTGATTTATCGATTATTTTCTTTATCGATTGTGAATACTTATTACGCGCGATTGTGTACCTATTCCAATCATTGTAATTATTTGATCTACAAAACATTTTGTACCATTTGTCCTTTTTCCGTTTAAGACGCAAAAGATCCTAATTGTATCAGAACTATTGATCAACCGGTTGATTGGTACACGTTTTCACGCCAATAAATATTAAAATCACCAGCCAATATATTTAATTTACTAGAATCAAGGAATGTCTCGAGCCAGTTCTCTAAAACTTCAACAAAACCCTGGTCACTAGAACTGGGAGAAAGATACAAAACACCATAATTACCCATCTTCATGCCACGTAAACTGTTATGCCCAAGAACCAGTTGCCATCAATAACTTCGTTGGTACGAAGGTTGAATTGAACTGATTCTTTGACATAAATGTCTAGAATGTGATATAAACAAGCAGCAACAATATATCCCGGAATACTATACTGATCAAAAGCTGTAGTTTCTACAATATTAGTTTCAGATAAGAAAACTGAAAGAGGACGTGTTTCCTCAACAATCTGACGTAATGCTACGTAGTTTGTTGACAACCCCGCAATATTAAAATACAAAAAATCGAATTGATTCACTTTCCTGGGACTTGGCTGCATTTTATTGAAACGCAAGCTGCTTTTCTTTTGATCGAAAAGTCTTTTATAGAGCAAACATTCCGAGGTAAATGCGGCATGGTTGACGTCCAAGTTCATTTTACGTTCTTTATTCAAATTCTCCACATTTGAAGCATCTCAACACATTAATCGCTGGAACTACCGAGCACGAGCACCGATCATACCCTACATTTACTTTTTTCGCACATAACAAACATTTATACGTATCGACATCGACTTCAATTACAACACTTAACTTGTTATAAGTGAAGCGTCGATTTTGAAACATGTTCACTTCTTTTACATCATTAATAACGATGTATTCATTTTGACTTTTTAAGCAGTCACTGAAGACATCGGAGGAAAACTGATAGCTCATGCCCACTATTTTCAATCTTGGCACCGAAGTGGGAACAACAGCACTATATTTTTCACCAGATTGCTTTCAATACCATTTTTAACATCACTTACATTTGCTCCTGTTGCACACTCAACAATAATGGAGCCATCTTAACCATTCCTAACATTACTGATTTTGTTTGTTTTTGGATCCAACTGCGTTTTCAAAAACTTACGAGTATCTTCGCAAGACTCTTTTGGTTTTATCACAATGACCTTACGATTATCTGGTTTATTACTTTTACTGTTACTGTTACTATTATTTTTACTTGGACTAGCACGACTGTGTCTTTTTGCAACATCCGCAAACCTCGCATTTTCTTGAAAAACTGACTGAATCGTCCTAGATGAATTCCGTTGATCATTCATTACAGCTAATTGGTTTTTCAATTTAAAAAAATGAACTTTTCATATTATCCAATTTATCCACAAATTAAATTTTCAATACCATTTACATTTATTCTTATGCCTACCATCCCGCTTTTATCCGCGATGTCCACCTGAGCAGCAATGTGATCTCGCATGCCAGGGATCCAGTCCGAGTGTTGAAAAACCTTCTTCATCTCTTCTTCTATCCTTTTTACGCACGAGATCAGATCATTCTGCTCGTCACAACTCTGACCTGATAGACAACTATCACACTTGAACAGAACATTTGCATTATCTGCTATAAGCCTCGCCGCAGTCTTAGTGAGTGCCGCACAAGCGAAATGAAACGTTCCATTGCACGGACCTACACATGTAATTGGGAGCCCACTCATTGCAATAGACTGCTCGCATACATTACACACATCGATTTTACCAACTTAAACGCTAACACTGTTAGCAGCAGACATATTCAGGGGTTTTCTTCTTTTATTTAACATCGGTCTCTGTTCCGCAATCTAGTGCCAATCACCGACGGACATCGATTGCCATCCATTGACGGCAATCGAATGTGCAGGAAGGCAGCTTCCACACCTGCGTAGGATATCGCACCCATTCAACACACATGGGCCGGGACCAACGGCTTTACTTCCCTTCCGAAGGAAGACGGGACCAGAGATTTTTATGCCTCAGAAAAATCCCACCGACCTCGACTGGGATTGAACCCAGACCCATTGGGGTGTTAGAAAGCAGTCACGCTTACCACTACACCACCGGCGCCGGCTATATATATTCAGGGGAGGAGAACACAAAATAAAATTTTACCGCCACAGATCACAATACAAAAGCAATAGCGCGCCGGGAGAAAAATACAAAATTGTACAAGAACGAGTTGCTAGGCAACCTTTCCTCTACTTATCCTGTTAAAAAAACACAACGGGCACGCGTTGGAATAGTCCATTCGCGGCACACGGCACTATTTCGCACGAAATTATGAATTTATTTTCACAGCATAACTCAACAAAAACACTACTTTGTTCGTCATACTCGAAAATGCGTCGATGATTTTAAAATGTTTATTTAGTAGAAACTCTACATCGGGTAATTGGACATCGAGTTGTGGAGAGCTGACTGTATGTGTTGTTTTCTGCTCGATAGTCCCAAAATATGCGATTAGGATGAAGTAGTTCTCTACCTTAATCAGATTGAAGCTGAAAGACTAAGAAATCGCATGAATACATTCAGCGATGTGAGATTAACGTTTCAATGTTGACTGCCAAAAACAGCCACTGCGTGCCTAAGCCACCATTTACCATATTAAAAAATGAGAATTTTAATTCGTGAAATTAATCTCGGCCCGTTGAACCAAACTCAGAAACTCAAATAATTCTAAAGCCCATTGTAGCTTCATATAATAGCTTCGTCACCTACCTTCTTGTTGTCCCGGAACTTGAGCCATCCGGACACTATAGTCTGATCGCTGCCAAGCACGTCAACCCCATCACCAACCATATCTTCACCCGTTGGGCTACACACACTTCGGGCTGGTGAGCTAAAAACTCCCGGTTCTCCCAGCACACTTTTGGCCGGACTCGAAAAGCTTCCAAAATTTGCGTGATCCATTGGTGATTTACCGTGCACCGGGGAGCTAAAAACCCCCGGTTCGCCAAGAACACCTTTAGCCGGTGAACTAGGCGGAAATGGTTCCCTTCGTCGCAACAACGGTGTGCTTTCACAGGAACTTCCCCCACTGCTGACCCCCCCACTGCACTCACTCTTCATCACACTGGCACTGAACTGATTTCGAATGATGTTTTTCCGCATACAGCTGCTGCAGTCCGAGTCGCCCCGTTTCCGCATCACTGCCATCATGGGAGAGTTTTTGGAAAATTCACTTTCTATTCGATGCACGCATCCTGTGGTGGAACTTTCGACGGCACGTAGCTTCGGAGCACAAACACAGTCGTGCACCTGATTGAACTTTCTCGATACGATGGGAGAATCACTGAAGTCGACCTCGTCGGGTGCCCCACGTCGACCGCACAGGGGTGAGCTTTTGTCTCGAATTACACCCTGTAATTTGTCCAGTCGCCTATTTGGCAACGGAGAATTCTGTGCACTTTGGCTTCCACTTTCGAGCAAACTGTGATGATGGGCTTCCAATCGGCGGGGAACGTTGGGCGAATTTTTGCACGACTCGGAGCCGTGAAGATTTCCAAGCATGACTGCCACCGCCAGCGCCGGATGTTCATTGCATCGTCGCGGTGGGGTCGTTATCGGTGGCTGGTTGGCGGACATTGTGTCGTCTGGAAAAAGGGACAAGATGAGACAAGCAAGAGCGTTAACATTATGCCGAAATTATACGAAAAGAATTTGGTATGGGAACACATAAAACTACCATCTTACTAGAAAAAAATGCTTATTTTTCTAATAAGCCAATTCTTAAATTGAATATAATTTAGATCTATAAACATTGCTGCTAAACCGTACTAAACTTTTACTCATGATGAATGTTCTTTAACGGAAATATTCAACGCACACCAGCTCTGCACAAAACGCGTCGAGCCAGAAAATCGATTGCCCAGCTGAGTCGGAATGTATGCACCTTGGTGCTAGCTGCTCGAACGCATCCTATCGGCACCTGAAAATCGGTCTCAAAAGGCGATAGCATGACTCAATGCATAAAAAAAGTTTCTCAATCCAACTTTCCTACAACAATGCAGAGAATCTCTCGAGCCATCAACTGTCTCTGTCCTGGGTCTGATGCTGTTTCCTCGATTCTCGATACCTACTTGATATAGGTAGGAGGCATCAGCCTAGCACTTTCAATGCTTGTCATTTCCATACCTTTGAAAGTCGTTTGGCTGCAGTCGGTGAAGTACACTTCCGGAAAAGGCATACATTGAAAATTGTACGCACCGGAACCAGCAGAACGTGTCGAGTTATATGCCTTTGGTCTAATGCCTGAGCCACAGTCTACCAGCACTGGCGAAGTAGCATTCAAACTGTTTTACAGATGAATGACTAACTGAATGGGAATTGCTTCTGAGAACTATGGACGTGTCGTCTGCGTGCATCCTACCTGTGCTTTAGGAGAAGACGTCGTATTCTCGTTTCGCTGGCAGGCTGCCGTTTCGTTGTGTGTCACAGAAATGGGGAATAATTATGGCTATGTCCGTATTTATGAGTCTAGACCGTTATAAAGTGCTAGATAATAGGTCTCTCAAAAGAGTCCGAGCTGGGTGGATGAAATCGAGCTGTGTGGTGTAGGTTTTGTGGCAGCACTTGCTTTTCTGATTCCAATTATGCAGAAAACAATATTAGCTTCATTAAAAAGCTTCTGCCACAAAGAAGTACATTTGCTTCTGCGGGCAGGGAAAATCCTTTAAATCAGTGTCTCATTGAGATTTTATGATCATTAAAAGAGGTTTCCTTTGTCTCAGCAACTGGAAGAAATGGGTTTATCTTATGCAAAGTGTCAAAAGCAGGAGAAAGCTGTAAGGTACTCGGTTTATATGAGATTGTAATTTGCTTTCTTAGGAGCAGATAAGGTTAATAATGGTAGGCTAATGCGCTAAATCTTATGCTGAAGTAATGCACCAATCTATCTTCTGTGTACTTCTTAAACCAAGGGACACAATCTTAATTAGCAGGTTATATAATACCAATGTTTGGGTACATGAACATTTGAAAGTTCTAGTTATGAAACTTGTAAACTCGTTTGACCCCTCGGATGACTGGCACAGCGAAGAGGGAGGGGTTTTTGGGTTCAACGAGCCGAGAATACCTCTGCACTACTATGAGGAATCACTGGGATGTTGGATAAAAGGGTTGGGCTTGCAGCAAGGTTCGTTTTGGTAAACGTTAAGCTGAATTGATATCCTCACGGTCCTATAACGCAAAAGAACTTGGGATTAAACCCGTGGCTTTCTGCTCAGTAAGTAAGTAAGTAGTAATTAATAATTACAACACACCACCCAAGTAACAATTCAGTAACCATTTGGCATCCACTCTGATTTATGATGGTTTTATAACGGCAATGAACAATCCATTGAGTTTAAATACAACATTTCAATGTGTAAAACTGCTTAGAAATTTAGGTTTTTGCTGTTTTAAAACCTTTTGTAGTCTGACAGGAAATCAGAAACTGTCTTGTTAAAAAAATAAATTTTAAACAGTTTTCAATCCCTCCTAAAAACTGTTTTGGAATTCAAGCATAAACGTCATAAGCAATTGTTTATTAATGTCTTTATAATATACTTTATAAACGTATTCTATTATTATAGAAGCAACCAGAAAACCATTAGGTTTTTCATTAGAGCAAAAAGCATTTATTGTTGTTTTTAGGCTTTTTAAAGTGCATCATAAACTCCTCACTTACTCTGTTTACAAATTAAGCTTAAAATATGGTTCCTCATTATTACTAAAAGCCAAGTTTATGACAAGGAAATCCGAAGGAAGGAATCGTCTAGGATGAAAAATTCAAGTCGATTTCAGCAAAATTTACTTCTTTAGAAGAACCAGCACACCATCAACGACTGACCAAGTGAGCGTGGCCCTCGAATTCATAAAACATTGTCAAAAGTTTACCGGCCTTCTCCAGATCCTGCGAATAGATGACAACCGACAGCAAATCACTGAAACTGTTAATTAGCGGAGATTAGCTGGTTTCCGATCCATAGCAGCGATTTTATTCGGCAAACGAATCACCACATTAGCGTATGATAAAGGTCACGTAGATCAGGAAAAAAATAACACAAAACAAAGCTGTCACACAATACGTCGTCTCTCGACCGACTCACAAAACAAACTCCCCAGTTTAGAAAATAATTAAAAGAAAAAAATGGAACGGACTCACCAAATCGATTCATGAACGATGCCTCGTTACAGTGATCTCCATACTCAAGGGTTGGTAAACATGGCACGATAATAGGTTTACCTATATTCTAAGTGTTGGTGATTAGGGACGGAATCAGACGTACTGATGAATACATGCGAATTAAAATCCCTGTGTGGCCAGGTGATGCCATCAGAAATGGTCAACGAATATGACTTGTGATTAAATGGATTCAGGCTGCTAATCGGAGAATCTGACCCATTCGTAAGAAACACAAAGAGCCGGAAAGAACTACCAATAAGGCTGGCTGTTGCTGCTAGGTCCCAAGAGGCCGACCTAACTGATCGGTGGTTGAAGAAGTTCCGAGCGGCCAATTGTACAAACGAAGCCTGGTTGACGGATAACTAATTATTTAAAACATCACAAAACACGACAGAAAATCGAAAAAAATAAATTGACAGCTGAAATTTGTTCATGCCTTTCTTCAAGGACAGCACTTTACGATCATCCATCGTATTAATTAAGATTCCGAAAAAAAATATTGTCTGACCACTTCACTAGGGGCACTTGGATTAAGTGGCCAATGATTGGCCAAGGATTTGGCCACTTTCCGGTAACACCAAAAGCAATGTGTTTTAATAAGCGTAGGTAGGTCACCTTTTCGTGGTACGTTACGGGATGTAAGATCTACCACCGATTCCTAGTCTTGACTACTTCAAACTAGGGGAACAGGATTTTTCAGTAATCAAAGGAACACATCTTAGTCCTTGTTACTTTTCATGCCTTGTTGATAGTGATAAGTCCTTGGGTTGCCTGGACCGAGGATGATCTTGAAACCAGGAAAAAATGAGTTCGTTAGTCTTCATCAATGATTCCTAATCTTCTATTCGTTGTTCCATAGCTTGAAGTGATTAAGACTAGGGTTCTGATGCATGGTCATTATCGGTGTCATTGCTTGTTTTTGTTGCTAAGGAATCCAATTTTGATTGACAAAGGGGCGCGCCTTTGGAGGGTGTTTCAACACTCCGAAGGGTATACATAGCGGGACCTTTCAATTATAATCGATTCCTTGCAATGAAGGCAAGAATGACAACTGTATCAACACCGAATACTTCATCATTTATCAATAGTGATGGAGTAATACGACATGCACTAAACTAAGGACACGGGATATACTACAATAGATCAAATTACTGGTTGCAGTGGTGTTATGTCCCGAACAAAGAGAAAAAAAATAAGCGCTCATGTTCATGCTGACTAGGACTATGACCTTTTATTGAATTCTTATATTTTTTCCTTGATTTGTTTTCCGTGCTGAGCACCAATGATACTGACGCCAGGGAGGCAGCTACCACACCTGAACCCTACCTGTTGACCCATCAACTCATGAACCGGTGACCAACGACCAGGCATGGCAAATAATTTACATTCATCTTGTGCATTCATTTACATTCATTTTCCTCTAACTTTTTCCATCAACAGAATTCCGTTAAATGATGTATGATACTTTTGCAGGTCTTGTTTATCTACAATTTTGTCAATAACTCAAATCTATACCTCTTATGCATGACGAACTAGAGCGGGTAGAACTTGCTACTATTTTTCAATGAATGTAATTTACATTCACTGAAAAACATAGGTAAGTTCTGTTCGCCCCGGTTCATCATGCAAAAATATACAGATTTGAGTTAATGAGAAAAGTTGTAGCTAATATCAAAAGCTTCAAAAGCTTCATACATCATTTCATGGAATTCTGTTGATGAAAAAAGTTAGAGGCAAATGAATGTAAATGAATGCACGAAATGAATGTAAATGATTTGCCATGCCTGCCAACGACTTTACTTCCCTTCCGAAGGAAGGCGTGATCAGAGATGTTATGCCACAGAAAATCCCAGCGGCGCCGACTGGGATTGAACCCAGGCCTGCTGGGGTGAGAGGTAATCATGCTTACCTCTACACCAGCGGCGCCACTGTTGAATTCTTATGATTTGGTGTGTCACATCATGGGTTTTGATTTGATCCATGCCAGAAAATTACCAGTAACTATTCTTTGAAAATACTTTCGTAGGAATTTTAACACTGTTTGTTTTTTTGAATGATTTACTGTACCTGTTTCTGAAGGGTCATGCAATAATTGAGTACTTTCTTCAACCCTGTTAACTTATTTTTTAAACGTAGCAGAACTTGATTTAAATCTCAGTTTAAGCGATAGGATTCCCAAGCAAAGTCGGTTAGCAAAATTAAAGCTAATCGGTAGTAAAGTTTGCAGTTCCTTTCATAATGAAAACTCATTCTGTATTCCAATTGTCGCGACATAAGTCTGATATCATATTGTGCTTTCATTATGCAGTCAAGACTTTTTAAATGAAAGCAATTTAACTTGAAGTTCTGGAGAAATGTGTGGCATCGCGAGTGATAATTTTAATTTCAGTTTATGATGTGGGTTCGTTCGCAACTATTT